GATATATATATATATATATATATATATATATATAAGTACTCCTAAATGCTCAAGTAGTGCAGAGGGGGGAATCTGTGTTTTTTCTAACATGTGCTTTGTTTTTGTAATAATAAAAAATGAACCTAATTAAAAAAAATCCTTAAACGCTCACGTAGCGGGCGGGGATAAAAATAAAAAATGCGACCGCGATGTCATTAAGACATCTACCTGAAGCTCTCACGTAGCGTCGAGGGGAAGGTTGCCTCTTGATTTGTCCCCTAAATGGGGGAAACGCCAAAAGGCTGTCGAAATTTTCACTGAAATTTGAGACTTTGACAAAATTTTGGAACTTAATTTGAATATAACTTGATCATACAACCAAACTTAAATCAAGTTTAATCAAATGAAATGAACATTGGAATAAAGTGCAAGAGGACTCAATTTGGGACTGTATTAAACTTGAAATTGGACTTGGACGGAATTTGGACAAATTGAACAAGGACTCAAACTTGAACTTGCAAAGACTACATGAGACATATGACTTGAGTTTGTTACTTGAACTCAAGCAAGGACATGAATTTGGATCAAATTTGGTTGGAACATGAAGTGAACTAAATACAAATAATTTGAAATTTGAATTTGCAACATTAAATGAACTCAAATTTGAATAAATTAGCAAAAGACTTAAAATCAAACTAAACTTCAAATTGAGGAATTTACAATCAAAGTGAAAATGTTTAAATCAAGTGACAATTTTGATCACACAAATGAGCATTAACAAATCAAATTGAATGTGTAAGAATTTGCTTATAAAAATTGGCTCATGATGAATTGTTAAACACCTACATGTGAGCTCATGTAATAAGGCACAATCAACCTAAAGGGAGGGTATATAACATAAGTGCATGTTATTAATATTAATCATGGATGGCATATTCGTGAAGAACATATGAAGAATTTGAAATGAATGTCAAGAACTCCCTCCAATCAATGATAACTAGTTCATAGCAGTGCATCAGTTATCTACAAATGTTAAAGGTTGACGTATGAAGAACCTATTGAAATTGCTTGCAAGCAATGATGCAAGGCATGCAATATGTATTAAAGGGTACCATTGCCAGTTGGTATGCAAACAATAATCAATGATTTTAGCAAGTATATGTGATACAATTGCAAGAAGATGCACAAGTAATACTTTGCAACATTGCCTTGTGAATACCAAAACTGAAGCTGATACAGTCGACACAACAATCATTACAAGGCGATATAAATTCTCCACGGATGATTATAGAAAGCATGTCTACAAACAAGTACATGAAGAATGGTGGAAGAGACAGCATGTCCGTAGCACATTCAATGTACCTACCAATTATTGTGGCAAAGACACTAACACCTCTATGGTTGATAATTGTCCAACACGCTGGCCCTCTATGAGCAAGGACAGATGATGTATAGTGAAGTAGGAATATCTCAAGGGTTGTATAATATTCATCATACATACTATATATTATTTGCATGCAAAAGCAAATGAGATACAACAAGTGTAAATACATGCAATTATTTACAAACGAAGGCAGGAGATTAGTTAGTGCACTACGATCCACTTGCAGAAAGCAACGAGTAGTGTACGACAGTCTACATGTACAAAGCAGCGAACAACTCTATTCAAAAGTTGATACGCCATGCCACCGGATCTGTAACTTCTATGCAAGCGGACAGAAGGCGTTCACAAATATTTCAAAATACCCCTGCACATGCATCGTATTTTGTATACACATATGCACACAAAAGGGGTAAATATAATCAACACCAGCATGGGCCCCGACGAGCGTGTTATTGGTACACACGTGACTTCTAGGGATCGATGCTGCGCAGATTATTAAATTTGAACTCAATCCTTCTAAGCATGCAAAAGGAGTAGACATGGTTCAATTATAAAATGCCCCCAAACTTTCGCATGGGCCTTGCCGAGCATGTTATTGGTACACACGTGACGTCTAGGGATGCTGTGCGGCTCAATAAGTGAATTCTAGTTTGAACCCGATCCTTCTATATGGATCAATAGGAGTCAACAGGGTTCGAACCTTCAAATAGATACATAATTGTAATTATCAGTGTATTTATTTTAATACATTCATATTAGGCCTTCAAAGCCTATAATCAAGAGAATTCACAAATAAAGTCATAAAGCCTATGAAACCAAGTCCTCTGTCGACTAGTAGATAGGGTCGACAAGGTTAAATTTAGAAAATAGAAATGACCCCAAACACCCTGATGATGGCCGTATTGAATGTTTATCTCAACCAAAGGGATCCATTCCTAATACTCAAAATTCCACCCAAATAACCATGAAAACCTAAAAAAATCTCAAAATCCCAAAAAGATATTTTAATTTGAAACCAATCATCACAACACTTAAGGCAAAATCCATCCACCCTCCGTAATAGTTTGTCAGGGTGGATAAATTAAAAACTACTTTAGCTCACATTGAGCAAAATGCCTAGTCGAAAGTATCACTATGATCAATTCTCAAACAATCGCCTGCTAGTAAGGACGTGGTACGTGTCCTCTAACCGACAGTTTTGATGTCAAATAGCATCGCAGGATAAACGGTTATGACCCGGGGCCCTCTGAATCGAGTGATTTTTCCGCCAAATGGCATCACGAAATACCGGTTATGGCTAGAGCCAATACGCTCCATAGTGGAATCAAATCCTTGATATATGAATCAAAAGGATATAATCAATAGGGTATAAAGCCCTCTGTTAGCTAAGGTGGATTCAAATTTATCCCTTTAGACAAATATTCACCCAATATCTACAAGGTCCCCTTGGACGAAGCAACCCATGGCTGCCGATAAGGATCCTTTTGTTAGGTTGGGTCGACTACCTCCTCTGACTAAGTAGACCATGGACCACGATGACCCGGGATGACGGAACCATGGGATCTTGATCGGGTCCATCATCCATTCCTCCATCATCCGCTTTAAGTGTAAGGTGGTGACATTTTCTATTTTAATATCAAATCTTTCTAAATTCCCAAACTCTCCAATTTTCTAACATCATATGCCCATTGCTACTACTATATGCCAGATAACACGTATTATCTATGTATCTGATTGACGACTAGCCTTAAATGAAAGTTCTCTCTCGTTATCGAGAGGGGTAGTTAACTATAGGAGCTTGCACCTATGTGAAACCAGAACTCATATCAAAATGTCCTCACAAAATGAGGGTGAAATCTCTGGGTAGTGTCTTATCTACAAAAACATTTGTCTTCCCAAAATTTACCCCAAAACTTAATTCTGTTAAAACTCCCTCGCCGAAAAAAGAAAAATAAACAGTTGCGCGACGGGAAGGCTGGGGCCAAATTTTCGGAGCCCACACCCCAATCCCCTTCACATTCCAAATTGGAGCTTTAATCATTACATTCTTTTGAAGAAGCTTGAGCTCTAGTGGATCTCAGAGTGGCAGATAGAACATTTTTTGGTTGTTTACCTTTCTTTTTAGTAACCATTTTGAAACCGTCCTCTTTAGAAGTTTTAGTAATATCTTTTTCATGGTTAGCCAAAGAAGAGATGTCCTGATTAACATTTGTATTATCAATACAACCAGATGGTGGAATAAATTCACCTTCATACACACTCTTCATTAGTTTCACTTCTATTACCAACTCAGATAGTTTCCTTAACCCTTCTTTCTTTAGAATTAGAGGTCACATAAGGTTTAGAAATATTAGTATACTCCAATTCATTAAACATAAATTCAATAGAAACAAAAATAGTAGGGTCAGTTTCAGTCTTATTACTGGCACCATTAAAAATATTTCCAATCTTATCATTAACAGCTTCCACACTTGTTTCCTGACATTCATCCGCCAAAAAAGTAACATTTTCTAAGTTCCCTTCTTCGGATTTTCTAAAATTCCTTCTAAGTTATGAGAAATAGGCAGTGGTTCCACCTGGTTCTCTTGGGTCCCAACATTATTGTTAGATGCAGGCATATAAATAGTCTTATTTCCGGTGGATCCATGCTTCCCATTATTCATAACATTAGTTTTTTTTAGATCCGAGTGTAGTTTAAAACAATCGTTTTGAGCATGCCCATGAATTTTACAATGAGAATAAAAATCTGGGACTTCTTCAAACTCAGCTTTTTGAAGATACCCGGAAGCTTTGGAACCATCCCAAATTTCTTTTGGGTGTTTTTTGGAAATATCTACCTCAACTAGAACTCTAGCTACATAAGGTCTAGTGCGAGAAGCAGTAGCCTGGTCCGTCTGAAGAGGCCTCCCGAAAATCAAACCCAATGCATGCAAAACTTTCGGGTTAAAAAAATGGAGACGAAGACTAGGAAAAGAAATCCAGATCGGGACTATCGAAGATTCTTCCTTAATGTCGAAAAAAGGAGTCCATTTCAAGATTTGCATTTGATAGTTAAAAATAAAATACGAGCTCCTAGTAAAAACACGACTGTAATCCAGATCGTTAGAAAGCTGTATAGCCGCATACCGAGAGTCAAGTAATCCTATCGAAAAAATCCAGTAAGTTTCAAAGACGCAAAAAATTGTCGTATAGCATCCAGATTTGATCTCCGCAAACCAAATTTTCCAACCAGCGTAAATTGAAACTGAGAAGCTAATTTTAAGACTTCATCATCAGATAACAAAACAACATGAACTCCATTAAAAGTCGATTGAGTTAGAGATGGGAGATCATCACCTGCAGACGTGCTACCTGAAAGTACCTCTTTAAAGGAGCGAGATCTAGAAGGAGACTTGGAACCATCACTATCCAGATTAAAGAAGCCTTTGTTTTTATGCAACATTGGCTCAAAGGCTTTCCCCCACAAAGCAGAGGAAGGGACTCCCGCCATGACGAACTTACTCGACAGGGGCAAAGCAACAGAAGAGGAAACCAAAGCCTTCCGATCTCACGAAAACATCGAAGAAAAATGGTGGGATATCACGGAGAGGAATCTCGGGGAGGAAACCCTAAATCGCCAGAGCGGCGCTAGGGAAAAACACGGGAGGGGGTGGTATGAAAATGTTTGTTTTACCATCTGAAACTCTAAGAATGAATTCCGCTTTCTTCTCTTCCTTAGTAGCTCCTTCTCGAAGGTCGGATTTATGGTCAATGACTTTTCTTTAACTTTGAATATTCTTTTTACCCCGGCTCTTCTTTTTGCTATATTGTAGGTGTCTAAATAAAAAAAAGTGTCTAAATATTGCATTTAAAATGGGAACTCTTAGAAAGTTTAAAAAATAAAAAAGGTCAACAATATTGATCATTTTATCAACACGATCATGAAAAAGACTTACTTGGAGCAAACTCTCACTTCTTTCACACAACCCATAACTTCTATTTTCCTCTAAGGACAAGATCTTCAAGCTAGAAACTCCATGGTCAAAAATAAAAGTTGGGGAAAGTGGACGACATAAGCATACTATATACCAATCAATCCAACATGCAACCTTCTTATATTCTTCTTCCATACAAAATTGGTGACATTATCTATCACAATAATTAGTGGCAGATCAGAATGCGCAAAGACATCCAACCAAAGAAATTGTATTACCACCACAATTAGGCTTTGTTTTGGACAGTATTTTTACTACTTTTTAAAGCATTTTTAAGTACAAAAATATCTTAAAAACAGCAAAAAAATAGTGGTCACAAGTTGCCCTAAATGAAATTTTTTGTCTTGCCAACGCTTTATATATACTAGATAAGATTTATTAACAGTAATTGCTGATTTCTTAAAAGAAATAACTAATAAAATAGCTGAAGCGAAGTATACGATTAAACCATATACAATAACCTTGTATATAATAAAGTTTCATAGAAAGTAATCCTTTGATAACTTAGAATTTTCATGCGTAGATCTACAATAGAATTTATGTATCCATGAACACTACTGATTGAACAGTTGTGCCATCTAAGAAATTTTAACTGAAGCACCGATAAAATCAAAGCCAAGTAATAAGAAATGCTAATAGCAGGTAAATGAAGTTATCCTTTTTTGTTAAGGCAGCATCATAAAAGAGAGCCGTAAACATGCAAAACGCTCATCCAGAGCTCAGCTACATGAACGTTTTGTATGGGACTGTTTTTTTAAGTAATTTTTACTTAAAATTTTTTTATTTTTTACTAAAAATTTAATTTTAAAAACAAATCGTCCTAAACGAAACCGAAATCTAATACAACAAACAAGAAGAAATCATCAAAATTAATTAAACTTCGTAGTTCAAATATAATACTGGCAGCAAAATATGAAAAAAAAAAAATTTTTTTGGTTATCAATCTGATACTTGAAGAGAGCAGCAGAGGAAAAAAAAAAAATATTTAAAATTTAGGTGGCACGTATCCTCACGTTCCTCACCTTAAATCTGTCAATGCAGAGAAATTATTACGTGCGGTTACCGGTGGCGAATAAGGATGAGCCACGTCAAAAGTTTCTCTCGTCCTGGTACTCTGGGCGACTCTCGAGCGATCTAGGGTTTCAGTCGGCGGCCTCTTCCTGGGGGCTTCTCCTGTGTTTTTTGGTGGATCTGTTTTTCCTTCCGCCCGTCGTCATCTTCCCCACCGTCTACTGTGGTTCCAAATGGTAAGACTCGTTCGTTTAAGGATGTTCTTGCGGGATCATCCTCTGGTTCTGCTCAACTTAAATTTGTGCAAACTTCGTTTAAAGGTTGTCCTTCTCTTATGTTCTATGCCTCTGGTTTTTCTATGCTTGCAGCTCCTTTTGCTCTTACGTTGGTTGGAAAATTTTCTCTTAGACATCCTAACCTTGATATCATCCAAAATTTTTTTGTGAATCTGAAGCTTTCGGGCTCCTTCCACATTGGTCTGCTTGATCCGAGGCATGTGGCCATTCAGCTGAGTAACGATTTAGATTACAGCCGGATCTTCTCGAGGAGATCTTACTACTTCCAGGCTTGTCAAATGCATCTCCTAAAATGGACTCCTGAGTTTGATGTCAGGGAAGAATCGTTTATTGCTCCGATTTGGGTTTCTTTTCCCAATTTAAGGCTTCATTTTTTTAACTCGCAAATACTTTTTGGTATGGCTTCTCTTCTTGGTAGGCCTTTGCAAACTGATCAGGCAACTGCTTCTATTTCCCGTCCCTCTATTGCGCGGGTTCTGGTGGAACTTGATATTTCTAAAAAGCATCCTCTGAAATTTGGTTAGGTTCTGAATTGAACGGGTATTTTCAGACTATTGATTTCAAAAACTTGCCTATTTTTTGTAAAATTGATGTGAATGGGGACTTTACCCAAGTCCTCCATTGCAATATTGAAAGTCCTACTTTCCATTGCTTTGCTTCGTTTGTGTATGCTGCCTCCGCTCGTTATACTAGAAAATTGTTATGGGATCAAATTTAGCAGTTTCATAATAATTGTAATCTTCCTTGGATTGTGGGAGGGGATTTCAATACTATTGCTAACCCTATTGAACGGATCGGGGGTTCTCTTCCTATTTTTCAATCCATGGAGGATTTCAATGGTATGATTATGGATTGCAATATGATTCATATTGGCTTTACTGATAATAATTTCACATGGAATTGTGGGCATTTATGGCAAAGACTGGATAGAGTTTTATTTAATAATGCTTGGCTTAATGCTTTTGAGTCTACTCATGTTGATCATTTGTGTAGGACTCTCTCGGGTCATGCCCCGCTTTTGATTAAAATTAATTTTAGACATATTAATTCTCCTTCTCAGATTAGATTTTAAAATATGTGGTTGTTTCATGATTCCTTTTTGGAGGTGGTTAAAACTAATTGGCAGGCTCCTCTTATGTCGGACAATTCTATTAGTGGTATGAATAGATTGTGGTTGAAACTTAAAAGACTGAAGCAAGTCTTAAATTAGTGGAAACATCATATCTTTAAGAATCTATTTTCTAACATTCTTCGTGAGGAGAATAGAGTGAAGTTTTAGGAAAAGCAAGTTCAATTGTGTCCTTCTGATCCTAATGTTTATGTGCTTCAGGAAGCTAAGAGTGCTCTTTTTAATTTGTAATTACAAGAGGAAACTTTTTGGAAACAAAAAGTGGGTATTAAACATTTGGTGGACGGGGATAACTATACTAAATATTTTCATGCTTTAGCTAAGAAGAAACGTGCTAAGAATACTATTTTCAAGATTCATAGAGATGATGGTTCTATTTTTGAAGATTATGATGAGATTGCTGCTCTGGCTGTTAACCATTTTAAAAGCCATCTTAATAAAGTCTTTACTCCCTCTTCTATTATCAATCCTCATATTATTCCTAAGCTTATCTCGAATGAGGATAATAAGGGGTTAATGATTCCTCCCTCTCTCAAAGAGATTAAGGATACTGTGTTTGGGATGAATGGTGAAGTGGTCGCTGGTCCGGATAGTTTCACCACCAAGTTCTTTCATAACAGTTGGTCTATTATTTATGAGGACATTTTTGTGGCGGTTACTGAATTTTTTAATGGTGGGGCTATTCCTAAATTCTTTACTGCTACTTCTATTGTGTTGATTCCCAAAAATAATTCGGTTGCTTCTTGGAATGATTTTAGACCTATTAGTTTGTGTTCTTTCTTTTATAAACTTATTTCTAAACTTTTGATGAACCGTTTATCTATGCTTTTGCCTAGAATTATTTCGCCTTTTCAAATGGGTTTTGTGAAAGGTCGTGCTATTATGGATAACATATTGTTTGCCCAAGAATTTTGTCACGATTTGGATGCTAAAGTTAGAGGTGGTAATATGATTCTCAAGTTGGATATTGTCAAAGCATATGATAATATCAATTGGGATTTCATCTATAACATTTTAATTTTTTTTCTTTGATTTCAATTTTATAAAACTTATTAAAAACTGCATTGAAAGTCCTTATTTTTCTGTTATGGTGAATGGTAAGAGACATGGTTTCTTTAAGGCTTCTCATGGTATTGGGCAGGGGGATCCTATTTCCCTTGCTCTTTTTATTATTGCTGTGGATTATCTATCTAGAGGCCTTGAGGACCTCTTTACTAAATACCTGGGTCTTTATTTTCGTACTCTTGGTGGTTTTAAAATTTCGCACTTATGTTTTGCTGATGATTTCATTGTGTTTACTAATGCTTCTTTGAGTAAGATTAACAAGCTTGTGGAATTTTTTAACCAATTTGAGTTGATTAGTGGTTTGGCTTTGAACAAAAATAAGTGTTGCTTTAATGTTGCTAAGAAAGTTATTCCTGCTCGTGTTACGGATATTAAGAATATCACTAGTTTTAGTATTGGTACTTTACCCTTCAAGTATTTGGGTATTCCTCTTTATAAGGGGAGGAAAAAGTCTTTCTTGTTTGATGATTTAATTTCTGTGATTCTTAATAGGCTCTCCTCTTGGGAGGCTAATTTCTTAAGCTTTGGAGTCGTCTTACTCTTATGAATAGTGTTCTTTGTTCTATACATGTCTATACTTTTCAAACTTTATTTCCTGCTAAGACTGTGTGTAAGAGGATTGATAGAATTATTAATAAATTTTTTTGGAAAGGTACGGGTAACAGTTCTAAAATTCATTGGTCTTCTTAATTTGGTCTAAGTGTTCTGGGATGTTGAAAGAAGGGGGTTTGGGTTGTAAATCTCTTTTAGATTTGGCCACGACTTTTTTTTTTAATTATGTTACAATTTTCGTGGCCAGGAGTCGCTTTGGGCTAAATTTATGACTGCTAAGTATTGTGGTGAGAAACATCCCACCTTGTGTGTTTTCAATAATGGTAACTCTATTGTTTGGAAGCTCCTTTGCTCGGTTAAGTGGCGGGTGGAACCTTTTATAGTGTGGGGCCTGGGTAAGGGTAATATATTCTTTTGGCAACATCGTTGGTTGGATGGACAATCGATTGATTCCATTATTAAT